TTATATCTGTAGATCACTTGGGATCATTTTCACAATGTTAAGTCTTCTTACCCATAAGCATGATATATGCTTCCAATTATGTAGGTCTCTTGGTTTCTTATAGAAGTGTTTTGTTTTGGTACAAGACTTGTTTCTCTGGTTAGATTTATTCCTAAGTATTTCATCTTTTGGGTGATTATTATAAATGATAGTCTTCCTGATTTCCTTTTCAGAGGTCTATTTGTGGTATAAAGGGGTCTTAATTGATTTTGTATATTGATCTTGTACCCTGTCACTTGGCTGAATTTTTTAATTAGTTCTCACAATTTTCTTGCCAAGTCTTTGGGACTTTCTGTGTTTAGGAGCATTTATATCATTTGTAAATAGAGTTTTATTTCTCCTTTGCCAATTTGGAGGCCTTTCATTTCTCTTTGTTGCCTAATAGCTCTGGCTAAGATTTCAAGTACAGTATTGAGTAGGAGTGGTGTGATAATGGACAACTTTGTCTAGTTTCCATTCTCAAGGGGAATGCTTTCAGGTTCCCAAAGCTGAGAATAAGTTGACCATTAGCTATGGATATATGCCTCTTAGTATACTGAGGAATTTCCATTCTATTCCATTTGCTGAATGTTTTTTTATCAAGAATGGTATTGGACTTTTCAAATGTCCTTTCTCCCATCAATTGATCTGATCATGTGGTTCCTTTGTTTTTTGTGTGTGTCGGATTACATTGATTAATTTCTAATGTAAACCTTCCTTGCACACCTAGTCTGGATCCCATTTGTTTATAGCTTGTTTTTTAGATAATATGAGGGGTATCCAAAAAAACCAGGAATTTTCCCCAAAAGCTAAGTATTTACATTTTTTAATAAAACAACCTTGTCACCTTCAAAGTACTCTCCGTTACACTTAATACATTTGTCAAATCTGCAATTCCATTCTTAGAAACATTTTTTAAACTCATCTGTTTGGATGTCTGACAGCACCTCCCTTGTTTTTTACTTCAGCTCTTCTACTTTGTCTAATCACTGTTCTTTCATATACCTCTTCATTTGCAGAAACACAAAGAAGTCATATGGAGTGAGGTCAGGTGAGTCAGGTGTGTGGGGCAAGAGAAGCATGCAGTTTTTTGCCAGAACTGGCTCACTGAGATGGCTTTGTGAGCAGGTGCATTGTCGTTGTGGCAAAACCAGTCCCCCATCTGCCACACATCAGGCCTTTTTTGTCTCATACTGTTACGCAATCTCTTCAGAACCTCTCAATAGAAAGCTTGGTTAACAGTCTG